GTGCTCCGACTCCTACCAATTCACCCAGGAGTTACGCAAGGTGTTCAACACCTCTCGGGTGGTGTCGGGGCACGAGGCCGGGAGGCGGCTCATGGCTTGTCGGCAGGGTGACCATTCAGTGGCGACTACTCCGTGGAGTTCCGGACCCAGGCTCGAGAGGCAGGATGGGAGCAGGCCGCCCTGGTCGTCCTGTATGTGCAGGGGCTATCGGAGGGGATGAAGGAAAACTCTCCTTCAGGGAGCTGCCTGAGCAACTGGACGGCCTCGTCGACCTCTCGGTGCGGGTGGACAATCGGCGTCGTGAGAGGGCGTACAAGATAGGCATGACGCAAGGCTCACCTCCGCGTCTCCCTATCAGCCCGGAGGCTTTCTGCCGATTCAGGGAGGAGATGCCTCAGGAGGAGGCTATGCAGCTGGGTGCGGCGCGCTTGTCCTGGATGGAGAGGCAGAAGCATCTGCCCCGGGACGTTGCCGGTACTGTGGCCACGCAGGTCACCACGGCGACTCATGCCCGGAGAAGCCGGGAAAACGGGAGGGCTCGCTGGTGTCGTGAGGGGTGCTAGCGAGCCGGAACCGAAACTCCAGAGACGCCCAGATTTTTCTCCCCGTCAGGGTTCAGTGGGCCCACGCTGCGCGTCGGGCACATGCACTGGTGGATTCTGGGGCTGCGGGAAACCTGATGGACGCGGGGCTGGCCCAAGGGTGGAGCGTTCCGTTACTCTCTCTCTCCGAGCCGGTTCCGGTCATGGGCCTGGACGGCCGGCCGTTGGGGTCGGGCTGCATCACCCGGCGCACTGTCCCCGTGCGTGTCCGGGTGGCGGGGGGCCTAGGGTTAGTATATCCAGTTTTTCATTGTGGACTCTTCAGAGTGTCCCTTCATCCTCGGGCACCCCTGGCTGGCCGCCCACAACCCCCGGATAGACTGGTCCACGGGGCGGCTCATCCTGGAGGGAGGCTCCACCCCCATCCTGTTCCGGATGCCACCGACCACTCATCAGCCTAAACCACCGTCCCAGACCACCTACCAGTCCTCACCTCTTCCCCAGGAGTATTGGGATATGGGGGAGGGGTTTAGTAAGAGGCGTGCCAAGGGCCTACCTCCTCACAGGCCTTATGACTGCACTATCGATCTCCTGCCAGTGGGCGCGCGCATCTGACCTCACCAGCCATCCGGGGGGCCCCAGGGCGTTGGAGTTCCTGCATAGGAGGTTCTGGTGGCCATCTGCTGATTTGCTGGTGTTTTTATAGTATATGTCCAACAAAAAAAATATGAAAAAGCATTTTTTTAAATCAGAAACCTTGGGGGGCCAAATAAAATCGTCGCCAATTGGGGAACCCTGCCTTAGGCTCTGTAGAATTGTCCTGAAGAACATTATCTTAATGATGATCTACTATAAATACTCATATAGCAAAACTAAATAAAATTCAGTTATGTGTTATTATTGAGTTACTATTCAGTTACTATTGGCCTTAGTAACTGTCCTGAAGAAGATAATCTCAATCATGATTTATTGTACATATCATAGCTTATGTTAAAAAGTAAAAAGAGATTTCAGCAATGCCAGTTATGCTGCATTGTCAATGTAATGCACTTATGCTATATATGGACATTTGTTCATGCTGTTGTGATAATGTGACATTCTCAAATGCTGTGAATGAATATGATATTAGTTATTATTATCAGATAGATTTTATCAGAGTAAAATATTGTCAGAGTTAGCATACATTATTTGGGAGTTGGACACAGTGGCATGGGAGAGAGCATTGGAATTTCTAAACCCCTCAAAGCCGAAAAGAAAACTCAAGGGTCTTCTTTGATGCCAGACAGAGAGGGGAGGAGAGCAGTTGAATGACACTACAGATAACACAAATTACGTTTCATTCTGTAAATTACCCTGTGATACTTGTGGGAAAAGGTGCCCTTCCCACTGGGAACACACTGGTTGAATCAACGTTGTTTCCACATCATTTATTTGAAATTACATTAAACCAACGTGGAATAGGGAATTGACTTCTATGCCCAGTGGGTTTTGTCTTCAATGTCCTGCCTTTCCAACCGCCTGTGTGTGAGTGTGGGGCTAGCTCTCAGCGAGATGACACTGGACTTCTAGCTACTCTCTCCTCTTTTGTTACTAGAAGAAGAAATAGAGTCTCTTTGTTGACGGCGGATTAAAAAACGAACGCCTTGAAAGATTTTCTTTGGGTAGAGGCGAGGGGGAGGCGACAGGGGTTACGAGGGGGGAGGTGGTGTGGTGGGGTGTGGAGGGCGATGCTAATTATGCATGGCGATTGTTGATAGCTTGATTGTCTGCGTCCAGCTGCACCGAGGACAGAGGGAGAGGGCGGGGGCGGGGATGCGGAGCGATGCAGACTCACTGACGCCAGTCTCGAAATTCTCCCATCCATTGAAAAAGAGCCTCGTTTGTGTCGGGGCCTTTCCGACAGCGCACGGCGAGGGCACCTGATCCCTGCCCAGACGCACCAGTGTCACACGGATTCAGAGCTTTGGAATCTGTAAATGGGTAATAAAAAATCCAGGGTACGGAGGGAATCAACTTGCAGGCTACTGCATAGGCTATGCCATTTTTGACCATCCAGAATTATAACATTGTAGCCTATCAAAGCGAAAAAAGTGTTTATAATTTTGCAGTATGCCGTTATTCCTATAATAACAACATAACTGTATTATATCACTTTTTCTTATCTTATAATTTCATATAGGCCAACTTTGTTCATCACCATATTCTTCCAATTTGTATTGATTTTATTTTTACGCATATGCAATAATATGCAGTTGCTTATACAGAGAACACATATAAATAGTCATCTTCCCACCAGGGCAGCGATTTTAGGGCAATATTTGTCCACCCTCCTCCCCTTGACATATTTAAGAGTTTGCAGTCTTGTTTGGACAACCAGTAACGTTCACAAAATGTATTTTTAAAATAGCAATGGACCGAAGTCTAGTCATACCACACCGTATAACATGAGTGGTTCGCTCTTGAATGAGGTTGTTGATTGACTTGTAGTCATTAGGGGTCAACGAGTGTGGGGGGGGGGGGGGGGGGGGGGGGGGGAGTTATTGCCAAGCAGTGGATAGCAGCCTACCCGCTGACATGAACATCTGTGCAACCGCTGCAAAGGGGCGGGCCATTGGGCCAACTTCACTGGTGGGTATTTACGCACTAATGTAGCTTATCCATCAGAAAACAATTATGCTACCTCTTTATTTGTTCATAATATAAAAATACAGAGCATGAAAACTCCCTCCTAAATCTATATTTTTCTATGTTTGTGTCTTTTAAGTGAATCATTACCATATCCTGGGTTTTACCAACTGATGACCAATAAAAAAAATGTATGCACGCACGACTTTAAGTCGCTTTGGATAAAAGCGTCTGCTAAATGGCATATTATTATTATTATTATTATTATTTACTCCCTCCTTCTTCAGATTATGCATACACCAACCAAAGTGTTATCTACTACTATTATTGACTCTTACAACGATTGGTTGCGCTGTCAGAGGAGAGGAAGCCAAATGGGTTATTTTTAGGGAGTCAGCGTATTGCATTGGAGGTCGGGAGTCGGGACAAATCTCAGTGGGCTGCAGCAACAGAAACAGAGAAAAGGGGGCAGGTCCACGACTTTGAGTGAAGGGCCCAGTAAGCGAGCTCCACGAGGAGGTTCTGGTCAGGGCGGGCGTTTGCCAGAGGGGCGCGTTGGAGCGGGTGAATGGATGACGTCGGGAGACTGGCGCCAGGCTGTCTGGGACTGGCGCGTTAGATCAACACAGCTGGGGTGGAATAGGACACACAGCTGGCGCAAGGGTACATTCCTCCACAAAACAGGATTGTGAGAAAAGGGAAAATAAGACCAAATAGGAACAGAGGGACACACTTTGATGTAAACAAAAAATGCAGGGGTTAAAAAGAAAGAAAACAATGTATAACTTATTTTCAGTATGTGTTCATCCCGAATTTGATTCACAATAACGTCACCCAAAGGATGTTCTCGTCTGTAATGATGAACTAGATTTCATATTTGTTTGGATTTTGTGTCATGGTTAACTGTAGATTTTATATTTGTTTGGATTTTGTTTTTATTTTTTATCTTTATTTTAATTGAGATGAAAATGATCAAGGAAAAATCCTTGAGAGTGGTGGGGAGATATAGACACTGTTCACAACATAGCTATAAAACAGAGAGGGTTGCTGAGACTATAATACAACAAAGATAATAATATGATAGCTAATAATAACACATTAAAAACTGTTATTCACAATGAAGGGAGTTTAAACTTTCAAGCACTCATGTATGATAAGGTTTATAACTGTTTGGATAAGTGATCTAATTTCTTGTGAATGGAAAGGATTGTTATTCCTATAAAAGCCCACATCTTTTGGATAAGGAAATGTGGAGTGAATGCTGTGAAAACCATCACATTTCATACCGCTTATAATTGTAGGATTTTTAAGCTGTCTGTCTGCCTGTCTGCCTGTCTTGTCTCTTGACATCTTTTAAAATTATGTGATGCCAAGAGAGGTAGAAAAATGAATCCTGACGCCAAGATGTCTGCAAACTCATGACAGCAACAAATTGGCGTTAAAGCTGTAAAGGTAACTTGTGGATTCAATTTGATAAAGAAATAAGATCCAGAGAGTAGGCCCTAAGCCTATATTTGTCTTTGCACAATCTATATCAGTGAGCAGAATAGTAGCCAAGTCAAATTTAGGCCTATTAACCAAGTAGAATAGCCTATCATGTGTTGTAATCTGTATTCAGTGCTCACCAAAATATGTTTTGCTGATTGTAGCCTAATAGGCCTACCTGATATTAGGTGTCTAATTGTTGGTCAATCCCTCATAGCGTTCTTGCCCCCCCCCCCCCAATTTCAACATCCAATCAGAAACCCTATGCTCCGGAACCACCAGGAAGTCTCCACACTGGCTAATCAGAACTCGAGGGTTTATTTATTTGTGAGAAGGGGGCAGGGACTGCTTGACAATGGTGTATAAAGCCATCCTCACACTAACAGAATGACTATAGCTGGTTATTGCCTGAATGAGAATACTGGATCCTTCTTATCCGAATTGGAACTTCATTTCGAATCGAATTAATTTAGTTCATTAATTGTAGCCTACTCAAAAACATGAAAGCCATCAGTCCTATGAGATCTGTCAGGAGCTGCTACGAAGCTGTTTGCTGCATTTCGGAGCAGAGTCTCTCCATCACCCGGAATAAGCCATCTATGGAGGAACCCGTGGGCGCGCTGTGCGATATGAATGACTGCTACTCGAAACTCAAGGAGCTGGTACCGAGCATCCCACAGAACAAGTCAGTCAGCCAAGTGGAAATTCTGCAGCACGTTATCGACTACATCTTCGACCTGCAAATCGCGCTAGAAGACGAGTCTTCAGCGACAACCACGCCTGACTTGGTGCTGTCATTAAAGGTGAAGATGGTTACCCCCCTCTCACCCCCGTAATGCTGAATTTATTGCATGTCTCTTTATTTCCCATTGTATGAAATGGAGGAATAGACGTGCATGTAAAGGAAAACATGTTTTTTGCTGTGTTTACCTATGAACAATGTGATGTTGTTGGAAAGAGATTCTGGGAGTCGTTACACTGTAACATCATGAACAGTCAAAATGTATCCATCAAGTATCAGTGCGTGTTGCATTATATGTAATCACAGTGTATCCACTCCATATGTCATTGTTTATATCTTGTTGTCAGTCTGGCTAAGAATTTCGGTGTCATTGGCTATAATATTTATCATTTTTCTTTTCCATGAAGACTGCAGACCTTGCACGCAATTTCTCCCAAGAAGATGGACGATTGTGCCATTAAACAGGAGGAATATGACATCCAGAAATGGTATGTATCTATACATCTATTTACATCTATTCATGTGTTATTACTGTTGCATTACATTAATATATAATCTCCAATTTGCTGTGAATAGGCTGGCAATGGCAATGGACTGCTTCAAAAAAAGTGTGTGAACAAACTCCATACTTCAAAAAAATGATGGACTTTCTAAAATTATTAATAACAATAAATAGCAATACCAGGCACTGGTTTTGGAGTTGAAGGGGGCATTGATATGCAGGGTAAGAGTCTAGTCCCCTTTACCCTCTTTTTTTACCCCCCTCTCACCATGGTTGCCAATTAGCCAAGCCAGTGAATGTGTAGGGGATTCATTGCTATCAGCCTGGGGTTAGTGAAAGTTCCACACTAGGCGCCAGCCTGTCTGCTCCCTTTCTCCAGTGGAGGGAGGGAGAGAGGGAGGGAGCGTGAGAGAGGCAGAGAGCGAGCACTGACTTAACTTTTTCTTCCCTTTCTCTCTGTGTGCAGGTGCAGAGAAACACGTCTCCACTTCACTCTGGGCTAGAGGATAAGAGGGGCAGAAAGAAGGGGTAGGATTTGGAGTGGGGGGAAAAGAGGATCAACAGCTTGTTCTCTACACTCCTCCAGTCTCTTGTCACCAGACGTGACGTAAACAACACACCAAAGCAGAAAAAGATTTGAATGGATATGCTCTCTACTTGTTCCTCTCAGTTGGGTTTTTGTATATGTGTGAGCGTACCCCCCTCCCCCTGTTATCTTATAATTTGAAGGTTTTTCCAACTAGGTCAAATTGTGTGCATATCTAATTTGTGAAAGCTATGAGGGAGATGGTTCAGAAGAATGTGGTCTTGCGCGAGGGGGGGGGGGGGGGGGGGATCCTTGGTTAGAATCACAACTCTATACTAGAGTTGATTGTAAATGTTTGTAGGGATTGTGTATTTCTACGGACAATGTCAAATAATTGCTGAGTTTTATCAACTTTTTATAAAAGTGTGCTTTGTATGTACGTTCTTATGCAATAAAATTACTAAATGTTCTGAACATTCTGTGAAGTACTGTAGCTTTTCTTGGATAGTAATAACTTTAGGGTTGCATCCCAAATGGCACCTTGTTCCCTTTACAGTGCACTACTTTTAGTCAGGGCCCATAGCAGTGCACTATATAGGGAATAGGGTGCAATTTGGGACACATGCTATAAACACTACCAGTCAAAAGTTTGGACACACCTACTCATTCAAGGGTTTTTCTTTATTTTTTACATTGTAGAATAATAATGAAGACATCAAAACTATCAAATACATATGGAATCGTGTAGGAACCAAAAAAGTGTTAAACAAATCAAAATATATTTTACATTTTATATTCTTCAAAGTAGCCACCCTTTGCCTTGATGACCGCTTTGCACACTCTTGGCATTCTCTCTACCAGCTTAATGAGGTAGTCACCTGGAATGCATTTCAATTAACAGGTGTGCCTTGATAAAAGTTAATTTGTGGAATTTCTTTCCTTCTTAATGCGTTTGAGCCAATCCGTTGTGTTGTGACAAGGTAGGGGGGGTATACAGAAGATAGCCCTATTTGGTAAAAGACCAAGTCCATATTATGGCAAGAACAGCTCAAATAAGCAAAGACAAACGACAGTCCATCATTACTTTTAGAGTTATCAGCCTCAGAAATCGGCAATTAGCTGAACCTCAGATTGCAGCCCAAATAAATGCTTCACAGAGTTCAAGTAACAGACACATCTCAACATCAACTGTTCAGAGGATACTGTGTGAATCAGGCCTTCATGGTCGAATTTCTGCAAAGAAAGCACTACTAAAGGACACCAATAAGAAGAAGGGACTTGCTTGGGCCAAGAAACATGAGCAATGGACATTAGACAGGTGGAAATCTGTCCTTTGGTCTGATGAGTCCAAATTTGAGATTTTTGGTTCCAACCGCCGTGTCTTTGTGAGACGCAGACTAGGTGAACGGATGATCTCTGCATGTGTGGTTCCCACCGTAAAGCATGGAGGAGGAGGTGTTATGGTGTGGGGGTTCTTTGCTGGTGACACTGTCTGTGATTTATTTAGAATTCAAGGCACACTTAACCAGCATGGCTACCACAGCATTCTGCAGCGATACGCCATCTCATCTAGTTTGCGCTTAGTGGGACATCTTCAGGCTGTGTAAGGGCTATTTGACCAAGAAGGAGAGTGATGGAGTGCTGCATCAGATGACCTGGCCTCCACAATCACCCGACCTCAACCCAATTGAGATGGTTTGGGATGAGTTGGACCGCAGAGTGATGGAAAAGCAGCCAACAAGTGCTCAGCATATGTGGGAACTCCTTCAAGACTGTTGGAAAAGCATTCCTCATGAAGCTGGTTGAGAGAATGCCACGAGTGTGCAAAGCTGTCATCAAGGCAAAGGGTGGCTACTTTGAAGAATCTCAAATATAAAATATATTTTGATTTGTTTAACACTTTTTGGGTTACTACATGATTCCACATGTGTTATTTCATAGTTTTGATGTCTTCACTATTGTTCTACAATGTAGAAAATAGTAAAAATAAAGAAAACCCTTGAATGAGTAGGTGTGTCCAAACTTTTGACTGGTAGTGTATATATATAAAGTATGGAGGCTGATTAGCTTGAAGAACTCTTATAATTTAATAAAATACTTTGAGATGACAGGATGTATTCAATAGATGATTGAGGTCTTGTGGTTGGAAATCAAATGACGGGTGTTTCCTGTATCTATCTCAGTTTTTCCATGAGCATAGGCCCTAACGTAAGCAGGATGCTCTCTAGGTGCTAATCGTGATGGTATTCAGAGGAGTTGACACCTAGTTATAAATAACATTACTCTTATTATATCCAATCAATGCAACTTAATATATCAAAACTGGTTTGATTGCCTATACTTGTGTTTGTAGCCTAATGATTTTCACCTATCCTACCACAGTCAACAGCTTTCCCACTGGGCACAGACTTTAGTCCAACATCTAATTTGTATTTACATTTCGTTGAGTTGTCAACTAACGTGAATTCAAAGTAAAATCAACCAAACAAATCACCATGTCATTGGATTTAGGTTAAAAGTTCGGTTAAATAAAAATACACAATTCCCTTACGTTGATGAATTTTTGCATATTCAATCAGTTTTCCACATTGATTCAATATTGTCACCTTGCATTTTTGGGTTGCAATTACGTGGAAACAACATTGATTCAACCAGTTTTTGCCCAGTGGGTTGTCACAATAAATCTCAATGTCAGACCTAAGTATTTAGCTTTTTTGGAGACTAATGCCATTTATCCATGATTTTTACATTTTGTGATGTAGGTAAATTATTACTTCTAGGTAGTCAAGCTAGCTATCAAGGTCTAGTTGACCAGCTGGTCCAGAGACAGTACATAGATCGATATTAAAATAAAATAAAATAAAATTGTATTTGTCACATGCGCCGAATCCAACAGGTGTAGACCTTACAGTGAAATGGTTACTTACAAGCCCTTAACCAATAATGCAGTTTTCAGAAAATAGAGTTAAGAAAATATTTACTAAATAAACTAAAGTAAAAAAAATTATATGGATAACACAATAAAATAACAATAATGAGGCTATATGCAGGTGTACCGGTACCGAGTCAATGTGCGGGGGTACAGGTTAGTCAAGGTAATTTGTACATGTAGGTAGGGGTAAAGTGACTGCATAGATAATAAACAGCGAGTGTAAATGCAAATATCCAGGGGGCCATTTTATTAATTGTTCAGCAGTCTTATGGCTTGGGGCTAGAAGCTGTTAAGGAGCCTTTTGGACCTAGACTTGGCGCTCCGGTACCGCTTGCCCTGCAGTAGCAGAGAGAACAGTCTATGACTTGGGTGACTGGAGTCTTTGACCATTTTTTGGGCCTTCCTCTGACACCGCCTGGTATATAGGTCCTGGATGGGAGGAAGCATGGCCCCAGTGATGTACTGGGCCGTACGCTCTACCCTCTGTAGTGCCTTACGGACGGATGCCGAGCAGTTGCCATATCAAACTTTGTGGGAACTATAGTGTTGAACGCTGAGCTGTAGTCAATGAAAAGCATTCTCACATAGGTTTTCCTTTTGTCCAGGTGGGAAAGGGCAGTGTGGAGTGCGATTGAGATTGCATCATCTGTGGATCTGTTGGGGCGGTATGCGAATTGGAGTGGGTATAGGGTTTCCGGGATGATGGTGTTGTTGTGAGCCATGACCAGCCTTTAAAAGCACTTCATGGCTACCGACATGTGTGCTATGGGGTGGTAGTCATTTAGGCAGGTTACCTTCGCTTTCTTGGGCACAGGGACTATGATGGTCTGTTTGAAACATGTACAGTGCCTTGTAAAAGTATTCATCCCCCTTGGCATTTTTCCTATTTTGTTGCATCACAACCTGTAATTTAAATAGATTTTTATTTAGATTTCATGTAATGGACATACACAAAATAGTCCAAATTGGTGAAGTGAAATAAAAAAAATAACTTGTTTCAAAAATTTCAAAAAAATAAATAACGGAAAAGTGGTGAGTGCATATGTATTCACCCCCTTTGCTATGAAGCCCTAAATAAGATCTGGTGCAACCAATTACCTTCAGAAGTCACATAATTAGTTAAATAAAGTCCAGCTGTGTGCAATCTAAGTGTCACATGATCTCAGTATACATACACCTGTTCGGAAAGGCCCCAGAGTCTGCAACACCACTAAGCAAGGAGCACCACCAAGCAAGCGGCACCATGAAGACCAAGGAGCTCTCCAAACAGGTCAGGGACAAAGTTGTGGAGAAGTACAGATCAGGGTTGGGTTATAAAAAATATCTGAAACTTTGAACATCCCACGGAGCACCATTAAAGAATATGGCACCACAACAAACCTGCCAAGAGAGGGCCACCCCCCACCAAAACTCACGGACCAGGCAAGGAGGGCATTAATCAGAGAGGCAACAAAGAGACCAAAGATAACCCTGAAGGAGCTGCAAAGCTCCACAGTGGAGATTGGAGTATATGTCCATAGGACCACTTTAAGCCGTACACTCCACAGAGCTGGGCTTTACAGAAGAGTGGCCAGAAAAAAACCATTGCTTAAAGAAAAAAATAAGCAAACACGTTTGGTGTTCGCCAAAAGGCATGTGGGAGACTCCACAAACATATGGAAGAAGGTACTCTGGTCAGAGGAGACTAAAATTGAGCTTTTTGGCCATCAAGGAAAACGGTATATCTGGTGCAAACCCAACACCTCTCATCACCCCGAGAACACCATCCCCACAGTGAAGCATGGTGGTGGCAGGATCATGCTGTGGGGATGTTTTTCATCGGCAGGGACTGGGAAACTGGTCAGAATTGAAGGAATGATGGATGGGAAATTCTTGAGGGAAACCTGTTTCAGTCTACCAGAGATTTGAGACTGGGACGGAGGTTCACCTTCCAGCAGGACAATGACCCTAAGCATACTGCTAAAGTAACACTCAAGTGGTTTAAGGGGAAACATTTAAATGTCTTGGAATGGCCTAGTCAAAGCCCAGACCTCAAACCAATTGAGAATCTGTGGTATGACTTTTTGTGGTCCTCTGTAGCTCAGCTGGTAGAGCACGGCGCTTGTAACGCCAGAGTAGTGGGTTCGATCCCCGGGACCACCCATGCACAAAAATGTATGCACGCATGACTGTAAGTCGCTTTGGATAAAAGTGTCTGCTAAATGGCTTATTATTATATTAAGATTGCTGTACACCAGCGGAACCCATCCAACTTGAAGGAGCTGGAGCAGTTTTTCCTTGAAGAATGGGCAAAAATCCCAGTGGCTAGATGTGCCAAGCTTATAGAGACGTACCCCAAGAGACTTGCAGCTGTAATTGCTGCAAAAGGGGGCT